CATTATCAGTTATTTTTAATGAGTCATGTATTTGAGAGGGACTGCTACCAAATACACACATCTGCACACACTTAACTTATGTGCATATTTGTATATGTGTAGTATATCGCATAATGCAAATGTTAGTATGTAAAAAGTTGTACCTGAAAGTTAATGTCAATAAAAGAAATTGAATAAATTCAATTTGCTAATTGCCTGAAGTTTCTTTTTTTCGCTGCGTAGATATGTTTTGAAGTGTTTGGTTTCAGTGCTTCTATTATATATGTGTTTTTTTTTATTCTTGTTTCATCATTGTAATTTTGCCGTTGGAATGAATTCTTTCATGTTTGGTTTTAACATTTGGCTTTTCTTACTTTTATTGAAGAAATCTCTGGGGATGGATATCGTCTTTAGCAAGGCCGAAGCCTACTGGCTCTCAAAGGTCTCTGTGTCAAGCCTAATAGGTTTTCTTTTTTTCATTTATACATGAATCAGCACTTATGCCTTTGATCAGTGTAGTAGCTGTGCAGCACTTCTTTTTATAGTCAGAGGTTATATCTGTGTACTCTTTGAAAAGTGTTATACACACACACAATAGAGAGAGAGAAAGAGTCTCGACATACAAATTGTGAAAGCATGTGCAATACCCTGACCTCATGAGCTGCCATCCAGGGGAGGTAACACAGTTTTTGTGGCTAAGACGGTACTGTCACAATTTGAAACAAAATGGTTATTTTTGTAGTGATTTTATAACATATATATGTTATAATTTTTTAATAAATTATATATATATATATATATATAGGTCAGCTCTATGGTTGTATTGAGCTCTTTTTAGTTAGTTGTTTACTCATGTCGGGGATTTTTTTGGGGGCTTCAAACCTGTATCTGTGTGATTTTTTCAAAAGACTTTCATGTTCCTGGCTCTTTCTTTTTTTAAAACCTTTTTTTTCCTTCGAGATTGAGTTGATTATTGGCAAATCAAAAATTCGATGGTTTTCCAAAAACGTATAGTTTCCTATATTTTATATATATATATATGTATGTATGTATGTATGTATGTATGTATGTATATATATATATATATATATATATATATATATATATATATATATGAAGAAAAATATACGGAAAAAACAAACAAAAATCCTTGTATGCAATTATGCTGTTTTAATGTTAATATAATGTCAACGTCGGACGTTTCGGTCTAATAAACCATCTTCAGAACTTATTCATAAAATATAATTAACATTATCAATTCAACATGACAAAGACGATGGACATAAGAACAAACAAATAACTGAAAGTTTTATAAGATCAGCGTTCCATTTAAACATGGTCACGTTGTCGTCACATGGGTGACGCTGTGAAAACGTATTATGAAAATTTGAGTATTTTGAATGAAAAATGAAAAGAATTCTATTTTGATCTAAAATTTATATGTATGCTTGTCGAGCATTAATCTTGCTACATATATATATATATATATATATATATATATATATATATATATATATATATATAAATAGGCCAGTTAATGAAATTTGTGGAATAAAAAAGACAACAAAATAATTTAAAAAAAAACCACAACAAATTCCCTGGAAAAGAAAGATCCCACTTCATTGTTTATTTCTCATCTTGTAGATATAGGAGACAGGAATGTCTGAAAATTCCAACTTTAAATCTTTAAAATATTTCTCTTTGTCTTTCAGTTTATTCAAAAGGAACATGAAATAAATATTATCAGACTCATTGATAATATTTTTATCATTTTGTCTTTTTATTCTTCAAATTTCATTAACCAGCCGATTAAATCTACATAGACTACATGGATTATGTTTGGTTATTATCATATATATATATATACTTGACTCTCCCATCGAATTCGACATATGAGACTCAAGCAAATCAGTTCCTAGGGAACCAACAGCCCGACACCAGCACATGAGATTTGATTATAGTGGTGAAGGTTTCATGCAGGACCATCCACACTTTTTGAAGAGCCGATTACAGAGACCTGGTGCACTACGTGCCACAAGGTCCCCAAACGACCCTCCGCAGGTTTTGAATTCAGAGTTGTCCTTCCCCTAGAATAGTTGCCATCCAAGGCTATAGAACCTAGTCTGTCCTGCTATTTACCCATAGCTGGAGGGAGAAGAAAAGGATTCCCACCTGTCCCAAGGGTATTAGCATGTAAGTGAATGAATGTAATGGATTCGACTAGAATTCGAACTTGGCTCTCAATTCCATATATATATATATATATTTATATATTATATATATATATATATATATATATATATATATATATATATATATATATATATATATATTTTATATATATATATATAGTTTATGAAAAACTAGGTAATCCATATGGGTAAACCCAAGGAGGATAAAATCCAGAGAGCTCAATGTAAATCCAGAGCAAGTAATTTAAATAAAAACAGACCACTTTAAGGTTCCATGTAATAAATCATTTCACCACAGCCCTTTTAAAGGACTGCAGATCATCAGACTTTACTTCCAAAAGTTAAAACGAAAAATGAAATTTACACATTTTTGACGGGCCATATTAAGCATATGTAAATTGAGGAAGTGAGGGGGGAGAGAGAAGAAGATATGACTAAGTTAGATGTAATTTAAAATTTCTATTCTTTCATACTTAAAATTACTTGAGGAGGTCCAGACATATATATATATATATATATATATATATATATATATATATATATATATATATATATATATATATATATATATATATATATATATATATATATATATATATATATATATATATATATATATATACATATATATATATATATATATATATATATATATATATATATATATATATATATATATATATATATATATATATATATATATATATATATATATATATATATATATACATATATATATATATATATATATATATATGTTAAATCAAAAACAAGTTATATTAAAAAATAAACAACAATATAAAAAAAATTAAAAAACAAAATTAATAGCAATAAAACGTGTATAGTAAAAGGCAAGAGGGAGCTCTTAGAACAGGGGACAATAATAAAATGCTGAATATTGTGAAAAAAATGGAAATATAGAAATTAGAAATAATTATACATTCACCATTTGAAGAACTAGAGAATTATAGTGATATACATAAAAAATTTTGAATCGAAAAAGTATTCAATGCATAGACAAATGGTAGAATTACATTCAGCATTATTTAACTGACATTCACATTAAATAGATGCACATAAAGTCATGTGCAGAAAGTGTGAGACAGATAGTCAGCAGTTCTTTTATAATATGCTACAATATTTTTGCAACATTTTTGATGCGGATTTAGTATTTAGTGTTGTTGAAGTTATTGCTAACATTTTTTGGCGAGATTTAAAAACTCTACGTTTCATTCATTTTCACAAAACAATCGATGAAATTTGAATAAGCCGATTTGTTTGGAAAAATACTTTGACAAAAACCCCTACTTTGTGGTTTAATAATTTCTTTAATTTAATTCTATAGGATTTCATGGTAAACAATATTTTTTAAGAAAATTTCTTTTTTCCTTTATCCATTTAATAATGAAGAATAAATTCTTAGGATTCCTTACTCTTGAGCATGTAACATACAACTGACTATGCTTAAATATTTCTTTCTAGAGCCAAGTTCCAACTTTTGGTGGAATTTGGCCTTGTGATATGTTTAATAGTTCTTGCAAACACAGGGCAAATTGGAAACTGAATTCTTGTATATATAAGAACTTAAAAGATATGCAAAAAACTATTTCATTTTTATTAAATCAGTATTTGTTATTTTAATCATTAAATTGTTTTGAAAATAGTGAGAGCATTTTGTATGTTAAATAATAAAATTTTTAATTTTTCCAAAAACATTAATGAAAATCTATTGTACTAAGCTACACATCCTAGCAAAACCAACTGTACTTTTTATTCCGCTTACCGATTTACACTTTCCCCCAAAATTTGGATTCAATCAGTAATGTATGGCAATTTTAGAGGAAGCGATTGATTGACAGACTAATGGAAGTTTCAGAATTTTATATATAGATTACTTCCAGCCATATCATGTTGAAAAACTAGTCCCTAAACTTAAGAAACGGCAAGCCTGGTCAGTACCTAGATGGGTAACCACTTGGAAATGCCAAGTGCTGTAGGCTTAAATGTGTGTGCGGTATGCCTTACAGACATATCACATTGAAACACCAATTCCTTTATGATCACCAAAGTTAAGCAATGTTGAGACTGGTTAGTACCTAGGTGAGTGACCACTTGGGAATACCAGGTTCTGTAGGCTTGGCTGCGTGTGTTGTATGGCATGGTCATATCATGTTGAAACATTATTTCCCATATGGTCACTGAAGTTAAGCAATGTTAAGTAGTCAACCTAGATGGGTGACTGCTTGAAAATACCAGGTGCTATAAGCATGGATGTGCAGATGGTGCAATGGATAATGGCTCAGAATTTTTAACTGGAGAGCTGAGTTCCAATTTCAGTTGTGTTCATTATATTCACTTATGTGGAAGTGTATCTTGAGACAGCTATGAATCCACTTCTTCTCCTCCCAGCTATGGGTTAATTAGTAAGACTTGCATCACTAAACCATTATTATCTCCAAAAGAATAATTGTTACAATCTAAAAATATTTTCTGGTTTTGAATAGCCTGCAAATGGTTGATATGTGGTAAAAAAAAAAAAATCAATCTATCAAATCATTTTATAATATAGATTAATTTACCAGAGATTTCGTTTAAACAAACAAAATTATTTTGGGGCAAAATTCTTTTTTATCCCTTCTTTGTTTCCAAATCCAGAGAAGAGGGCTTGGATGAAAAATGCATCTGCGATGAATGGCTGGACAGACCTGGATTACCAAAGGTAAGCCCTACTTTGACATCAGCAAGGTTTTTTTTAATTTTTTTAATTTTTTTGTGATGAAGGATTTCTTTAGTTCTCCTCAGGCCACAAGAGTAAAGGTAAATGAATAGTGGCAGAATTTCAAAGGCTTCTTTTTACCAGAGTTCAGCTATGGATAAAATAGCAGGGCAAACTGGAGTCTCTAGCTGTGGTTGGCAACCAGTCTAAGAGAAAAAACATTTCTGAATTCAAAAACAAATGTGGCTCCGATGAGGCATAGACTTGAACTGTAACTAAGGACTGTTCAACATAGATGCAGTATAAACTACAGCTTGGTTCTGTGTACGTCAGGTATACACAAGTCTAAAAACATAGACACACCTGTTTGCATTAAAATAAAAAAAACATACACATTTGTTCATTTTACGCTAGAGTCAAAAATGCGGATATTTGATGTTGTCGCTCTTTTGAAGATAGTCAATTAACACAGTACCTTTTGCATCCCTTAAAACTGAGGCTATCATCTTCCCTGCAGATGAAATGACCTTGGTCATCTTTAAAGCAGATAAGGAGGGGTGTTTCCCCTGCATGGATTGTCTCTGTCTCTGGCTCAAAGTGATGAACCCAACACTCACCCCCAGTAAGGAAACATTTAAGGAAACCAGCTCAATCTGCCTCAATGTCAGATTTTCCCATGCATGAGCTTCTGTGTTGAGCTTTTAATTAGGTGTCTGAAGATGTGACACCCACCAAGCAGTAACCTTTGTCATGCCAAGTTCATTGTGCAGAATATTCTCAACTCTCTCACAGGAGATGCTAATAATATTGGCTATTTGATTTAGAATCACTTGCCTGTGATCCATTATCATGTGGGGAACATGGTTAATGTTTTCCTCGATGGTGACAGTTGCAGGATGTTCAGACCTTGGGTCATCTTCAAGACTCGCCCTTACCCTCCTAAATTCAGCTGCCCACTTTTGCAGTGTTGATAAAGCTGAAGTATCTTCCCCTAATGTAGAAAACATGTCAGCATGAATGTTCTTTGGGGCTAAACACTTTTTCTACAAGTACTTGATAAAACCATGATGCCAAATTTTGTTCATTTTCAAGAGAATTTCCTGCTAATTACTTTTGGCATCTTCTTTGAACAGTTAGATGTCAGTTTACCCAACCCCCCCCCCAAAAAAAAACAATGCTGTTATTAATAAGAGTTGATGTCCGTGCATAGAGGGAAGGTTCAAAGGGAACAGACTATTTTGGGCCTCTGGTCCCATGTATGCACGGGACGCCCACTTTAAATTTGGCCTGTGCCACATTCCATTCGAATAAATAACTTCTTCTTCTTCTTGTGCTGCATCCCTTGAGGACGTGGGCAATCATGACTTTCCACATGACTATCCCACGTAGCTCTTAGTAATGCTTGTCTTTTTACCATCTAACGCACTCCCCTTTATTCATCTAAGCTATTCATATAAGCTCATTAATTGGCAACCCGGTACCTCTCCCTGAGCCTTTTGCCTTCAATATGTCATGTGAGTATCAGATTTTCCAAACCTTCTTTCCTCATTATGTGCCACAGAAATTTTAACTGTCTCTTTCTAATTGCAATTAAAAAATATCTTTTTTGCGCCCATTTTCCTTAAAACTTTCTCGTTATTTACACGCTCCATGTATGTTATTCTCAGCATCCCCCTGTAGAACCATATTTCTATTGTCTTAAGTTTCGGCTACCATTAAATTAGGAGTTCGCACAAAGTAATAACTGAAATGAATAAAAAATAATTTTAAGAAACAAATATTATATATGCATGCGTGTGTGCACATGAGTAAAAGTCCTCTTTTATCGACAAATATGCCTTCCAAAAACTAAGCAAAGTATTAACAGACGGGAAATGTTCATTAGAAACAAAGAAAAAAAAAATAATGCTGTTATTAATAAGAGTTTAAATTAATGCATGCAAAAGTTCACATGTTTTGCATTAGCCCTTTATAGACAGCTTATAGACTGCTTCATATACAGTTTTCTACTGACTTCTTTAGAATTAAAAATGGTTTGGTTTATACTAGAGTCAAAAAAGGTAGACATAGTCAAGGTTACACTGAGTCAAAAAGGTACATATAGGTCTGTTTTTCACCAACAACAGAAAGATAAACATCTGTATGCTTTATATTAGGGTCAAAAAGGTAGACATAACTCCAGTTAGCTACATTAAATTAAACAAAATAGACATAAAAGTTGGTTAAAATAGTTGGTGCTATAAAAAAAAAGAAAATTATAACACGTATCAATTTGGCATTTAATGGTCTTCAAAGTAGTCCTCTTCTAAAGCCACACATTATATTCTGCATGGTTTCCATTAATGGAAGCATTACTGGAACTTCTTTTTTGGTATGGTGAGAAGCTGCCTCTTCGCAATTCTCTTGGATTTCCTCAATGCCTTGAAATATTCTTCCTTTCAAGTGGGATTTGATTTTTGTAGAGGAAAAAGTCACAAGGGATGAGATCTGGGGAATATGGTGGTTGTTGGATCTGGAAGATGTTGTGCTTGGTCCAAAACTGTTCCACAAGCCATGGTAATTGATGGAACTCCTGTGGTGCAGAGAGATAACCACATTCTACACACTTTTCTTCCAAGCACTGCTCTGAACAAGGGAATTGAGCGAGATGACCACACTCTACACACTTTTCATTCAAGCACTACCCTGAACACGGGAACTAAGCGAGATGACCACACTCTACACACCTTTCTTCCAAGCACTGCTCCGAACAAGGGAATTGAGCGAGATGACCACACTCTACACACTTTTCATTCAAGCACTACCCTGAACACGGGGAACTAAGCGAGATGACCACACTCTACACACCTTTCTTCCAAGCACTGCTCGAACAAGGGAATTGAGCGAGATGACCACACTCTACACACTTTTCATTCAAGCACTACCCTGAACACGGGAACTAAGCTTAGATGACCACACTCTACACACCTTTCTTCCAAGCACTGCTCTGAACAAGGGAATTGAGCGAGATGACCACACTCTACACACTTTTCATTCAAGCACTACCCTGAACACGGGAACTAAGCGAGATGACCACACTCTACACACCTTTCTTCCAAGCACTGCTCTGAACAAGGGAATTGAGCGAGATGACCACACTCTACACACTTTTCATTCAAGCACTACCCTGAACACGGGAACTAAGCGAGATGACCACACTCTACACACCTTTCTTCCAAGCACTGCTCCGAACAAGGGAATTGAGCAAGAATGTTATAACTGTGTATGTTTGTGTGACAGAATTCAAGGTCAATTTCTGCCAAGCATCTTCACTCGGCATACTTTAGCTCTGTTACCGTAGCAACGGTTCCGATATAAGTCCAGTTTATGTATAAGCACAGGTTCAGTTTATATTAAAATAAAAAAAAGTTGATACCTGTCTGGACTAGAGTCAAAGAGATAGACATTGTTAGTTTCTATTTCCATCTTTTTTTACTCTAGTGTAAACCATACATATGTCTACCTTTTTGACTTTAGTAACCCTTCTTGTAATCCATTATGGTTTTTTTCTTCTTCTATAAGACTTATATTCGGCATTAAATAGCCCAGTAATAGGTTGACATGTTTTTAATTTCGCTACCTTTATCTGATAACAATATTCTGTTATATTGGGACATGTAAGAATACTTGAGGTGGGTTTTGAATGACCACTTCAAGGTGAGAAATGGGTGTTTGATACTTTTTTTTGTTTGTCACTATCTACAATTCAGCATGACATTCATGAATACATTCTGCTATTAATAGTCTAATTCTCTGGTGTCATGGATAGCCGCTCAGAATGAGAAATCAGAGAGCTCATTGGCAAATGAACAAATCAAACAAATACCCTTGGTAAATGTATGACTCACACAAATACGTTTGGGAAATGTATGAATCAAACAAATGTCTTTGGGTAATGAATGAATGAAATAAATACCATTAGGAAATGTATGAATCATGCAAATACCCTTAGGAAATGTATGGATCATGCAAATACCTCTGAGGAATGTATGAATCAAACAAATCCTCTAGGGAAATATATGAATCAAACAAATACCTGTTTGTAATGTATGAATGAAACAAATACTCTTGGGAAATGTATGAATCATGCAAATACCCTTGGGGATTATAGGAATCATCCAAATACCCTTGGGAAATGTATGAATCAAATAAATACCTCTGGGAAATGTATGAATCCTGCAAATACCTCTGGGGGATGTATGAATGAAAAAAAATATGTTTGGGAAATGTATGAATCAAACAAATGTCTTTGGGCAATGTATGAATGAAACAAATACCATTAGGAAATGTATGAATCATGCAAATACCCTTGGGAAATGTATGAATCAAAGAAATACTCTTGGGAAATGTATGAAACCATCTTTCGCCCACTCATCTAGCTATTAGTTGAATAATGGGACAGACTGGGTCTTATAGTCTTCGTTGGCAATCAGTCTACCGTAGAAAGAAACAGCAACCTATTTTCAGGAAAATTGTCTGCCTAGTCAGTCATAAATCAAAAAATCATGTATGGCACTTAAATGACTGACTGAATTATGTCATTACAGGTCTTACAAAACCTGCATCCCAACAAACAGGTGAAACTGATTAATGATGTCTACCAACAGGTGAGTGAATTGCAATTATTTTTTCTGTTCAAATTATGTCAATTTCCGGCGAAGATTAAATTTGGGTACGGTCTGTAATGTAATGCCATGATTTTTTCCATTTAATTTTAAAGCCGAGAATACAGTTTCACTGTGTTGAAAGAAAGAGGATCATGCTCATGTCTCATGAATGATATTGATATTTTGACAAAGGTCAAAGTTGATTTAAATTGTCCCACCTTGTAAACTTTTATAACTGGGTTTTAATTTAATCTTCTTCTATGTGCCGTATCTCTTCACGATGTCAGTGCTCATTTTGTCTTTTTGTTATTTCTCTTAAACACTGCCCTGCCACTCATTTACACAAGCTTGTTAGGTTGGTTATACAATGTTTTCCTCTGTCTCTCTTGCCTTCTCTCTTGTGAGTGTCAAATTTTCCATGTCATCTTTCCTCATTATGCATACTAGAAATTTTAATTTTCACTTTACAATCTTAATTATAAGTGTCCTTTTGGTTTCCATTTCTATCTATAAAAGGCAGGATGTGTGTGTGTAACAAATGCACGGCTGCAATTTTCAACGGATTTGCACCAAAATTTACATGCACATGCTCCAAGTTAGTGGGAAGGCCAAGACTGACTTTGCATTTCCCAACTCCTATCGATAGTGGAAATAATTAATTTTTTCATGCTTCTACAGCAGTTTTCATGTAGTTTGCGGCCATTTTTTACTGGCCAGAGTGAGAGCCTATAGCTGGCTGCCACGAATAGGCAGGAAGATTCTATTGGCCAGCATGAGAGCCAACAGCTGACTGACACGAATGTTAACTAGCATGCTAGCATGCAAAAAAAAATTGATAGCTGCATTCGTCACAAGTGGGAAAAATTTAAATCTGCATGGCACTTTGCTCTAATTGGCTCATTCGCTTGCTTAAACTCAATGTTGATTCTGATTCTGCAGAACTGGGTTGGGTGTGAAAAAGTATTTTTTGTTAACATTCTTTTTTCATTCGGTTTTTCCAGTTACGAGTCCTTTTTTAAAGCTGATCATTTTGTGTTCATTTTGTTTAGTTCTTTTTTCGTAACAGATTTAATGTTTAGTATAGAGCTTAGAAAAAATTCGCAGTGTGAGATAGGCAAGAAGTAAGGCATGTAGCAACATCAGCACGGCAAAGGGCACTCCTTTAAAGGCAAGGAAGGGCAAAAATATTTCAAGTCGAGTCATAGCGATTGCTGTATGAGTTGTACAATTTTTGAATCAAGCACGAGCAACGTCGGGCTATGCTGCTAGTTTTCTAAAAATTCATCATTTCTCACATGTCCAGTTTCTTAGCATCCTCCTGTAGAACCATATCTCTATTGCCTAGAATTTCTTTTTCGTCTATGAGGAGATGGCCTAGCATTCACTGTCATATACTTGTATTACCTAACAGTTCAGTACTCTTTTCTTTGTTTCTAATGAAATTTTCCTCTTTCTTAATATTTTGCTTAGCTTTTGGAAAGCATTTTTCACTTCAGATTTTGGTATTACCCTTTCTGCCCTCTGTTAAAATTCTTCCCAGATATTTAAATTTTAGACTTGATTTTGGTATCATCAACTTATAATTAACACATTGGGTTGTTTCTTTTGCTGACAACCATACAGTCTGTCGTATTGCAAAATGTTATAATGCCAACAATTTATTTAGTATTTGTGAAAAACCTATGCCATCAATTAGTACCTATTTTTTTTTAACATGAATGTGTTGCAGATAATGTTGGTATAAATTGTAGATTCAAAAGATAGAAGCTGCATAGACATTTTATTATCAGCACTTGAATATATGTAATTTAAAAGAATTTTTGATTATTATTTATTTTATTTCATTTATTCTATATATTATGAGTACTATATTTATTAGAAACTAGCTTAAAAGCCACCCTAATGGGCAGCATTTAAGCTAGCTCCTGTGGAGGGCTCTTGATTAGGCCTTCATCAAAATAGGTAAGGATGAATAGATGTGATAGGCATCAATAAACTACAGAAGAACTCAAAATTGATCGCTGCATTTAAGTATTGCATTAATATTTAAACTTACTTTTTAAAAGTTCAATGATAATTCTTCTGCTACCTCTTAATTTCAAAGCAATTTGGTGTACATAGGACCTTACTTTCCGTACAAACAATAAATTTTATTTCATGGTTGACTTTCGCTAGATTTTGCAATTAATTTTGACTATTCCCAAATTTATTTCCAAGTTATAAAAATTGTTATTTGTAGCAAAAATATCACATAAAAAAAAGTTGCCAAAGTAATTAAAACTTGGAAATCCAAAATTTCAAGATTGTAGGTCTGGATCCGACACAGGATGTTTTCAATTTGCTCATGGAGTCGGCCTGATTCCAAAATAGTATATGTTGGGCTACAGCCTCTATAAGTAATGTTGAAAAAATATGACACACTGACACTAGCATTTATTATATAGATATATATATATATATATATATATATATATATATATATATATTGTTTATTATTATTTCTTTCAAATTTTTCCACAGTTATCAGGTACGTATTTGTTTTTGTACAACTGAAGATTGTTTGTCTTTCTATTTCTTCTTACCCAAAGTTGTATTCATCAACTTTGCATTTTCTATACTTGTTCATGTTTTATCAATTGATAGTTTAGGTGTTATTACTGTCAAAAAGGCAGTATAAATTGTTTTACTGTATATTAAAAAGTGACTTTATAATCTTTAAGTATTTTAGGCTTAAATCCTGATTTATATTATCATTTTTTGTTTCTGCTACCTTTTTCTAAAATTAAAAAAACTTTTCAATATTTCTGTTTCTTTATTTACGTACTATTACATAATTTGTTTTGCTTTCTAGTGTTTTTATTTACCTAGCATATTTTATATTTTAAAAATCATTAAATTTTTAAGCTTCTAAAACAAGTCATTTCTATAACTATATACATACATCATATATGTTCCAAAGGTTGTCATAGCTGGGGGGGTGATAGATCGGATAAGCTCCCTCTGTCTATAAAATGCTTCTGTGGCACATGTCTTAAATAGCATAGGACAACTATGCCCAACTCCAAGCTGGAGAATTGGTAAAGGCAGAAAAGTGGTGCTTAATAGCCAGCTGCTTCAGGTACATGAACTTAAAACATTATATACTCCTCATCTTGAACAAGTTTGGTTATAATGTTTCTCAAAGTGCTTCCAACATTAACAGACGTCTCTGACCATAGTGCAATTAGGATCTATTTATGAACACACAGGGAAACCTACCAAACTCCAACTGCAACATACTTGTAGAAAATAAACATATAATAGCCTCAGCCACTTGTAAAAAAAAACTAAAAATAATAGAAGCACTAATAATAAAAAAGAAAAACCCAACACTCAATAAAATCAACTATGAACATGGCCACAATGTGCTGATCCTGTTTGGAAAATAAAACATTCTCATAACTCTAGATAGATACATAAAAAAATGAAAACATTCAGTTAAAAATAAAAAATAACAACCTGCCCTTGATAATGGCTAAAAGAATAAGTTAAAGTGCTCATATATGCAGAGCATTTGGATAATTTTTACACATTTTATGGCCAGAAAAAAAAAAAAACATTTTGACAGACACAAGAAAATTAAATAAAAAGCTTAATTGCAGTACCTTGTCAAGTCATCTTTAATGAAACTTGTATAAAAGACGGATTTCTGCTCAAATACACAATTTTTATATATATATATATATGTAGACAGAAGGAAAAGCCTTCTTTGCTGACACATTTTGTTTACTGACGGACTTCATCAAGGCAAATGTAAAGATTTTATTTTGTAAATATTTTTAAACAGAAAAATATTGTTAGTTTTTCCAAATTTTTAAATTGAGGAATTCTCATAAGTATTCTTCAGGCTGTGAAAGTCAAGGTAAACTATGGAGGATGCTAAATGTTGTAATTTAATGTCTCAGAAAGAAAAGTGAATAAACGTTTTTATCGTTACTGTTGTATTTTTTTCATGTAAAAAAAAAAAAAAAAAAAAAATCTACCATGCCATATTTATTTTTGTGCTCCTTCCAAGAATACTTAATCAATTTGGAAATACATTATTGGCACTCTCGTTTTCATGTTGTTTACAGTTACTGCTTTGGTGTGATCTTTTTATACTGGCCTTAATACAGGTCGGATTTTATAGAATTATTTTGCATGGCCATTAATAAGGACTTTGTTCATCTCTTGAGAGGCCTTTGTCATCTGCAGTTTTTGCTTTTTTAAATCTCAAACCTTGTGTTTCATATAAATATCTGATAAAGAAGACTTAATATTTTTTCTGCAGTTTGAGGCCATAACTTGGGGATTGACTTCCTTCAGTGGACTGAAACTGAAGCCTGTAAGTAATAAAGACATTTCTTGGATTGGTTTGTACATTTGCAAGCATGAACGAATGAACATGAAATAACAATAGTAAATTCAATATAAGTTCAGTAATGGTGGAATAATTGATAGCGGCTCGAATTGAGGAATCGGAGAGCCGAGCTGAATTCAAATTCTAGTCAAATCCATTACATTCACTTACATGCTAATACCCTTGGCAAAGGTATAAATCCTCTTCTTCTCCTCCCAGCTATGGGTAAATAGCAGGACAGAGCGTGTTCTGCAGCCTTGGATGGCAACTGGTCTACCGCAGAAAGAAATCTGTTTTGTCAGTCATGTATTGAAAGATACATGATCACCTAAGTGTGTATCATGCATGGCATATAACAGACTGAAATAAAAGATAGTAGAGCGATTAAATGAGTAGTCAAAAATGAATAATAAACAACTCTCGGAAAAGGAAAACTCTGAATTCAAGACCAAGCTTGAAGAGGGATGGGTTCCTTCAGACAGTTTTGTTCCATCTGCAGCAATACATTTTAGGCCTCTTTGATCCTAATGGGTTTTGTCCATTCAGCAGAAACAGCAAAAAAAATATTGGACCTACAACACAAGTAATAAACTTCTCACAATCCAACCAATTCTAAGTGAATGGTACCAAATGTGTAGAGAAAGAAGAAAAGACAAAGTAACACTAGCTCGTCTACACAAGGGCTGCACATAGCTCACCAATTCGTACTTGCTGAAGAATGAAGATCAACTAGTATATACAACGTACCAAGCTACACTTACGGTGAAAGATATTTTAACTGAATGTACTCACTTAGCCATAAGACATAAACACTACAAGTAAAACAACAGGAGAAAACTATATGAAAATACTGAAACAGTCAATATAATATCCTGCCTTAAAGATATAGGTTTATACCAAAACATATAACACCTGATGGTGGCATTTGTATAACATCTGTGTATAATGTCTAGGTGGGACCCCAAAAACCACTATCTGGAATGACTGCCATTTATATTTGCCTACTGGTCTATGTGGCAAGGGCAGACTACTTGTCTGGCTTTGTTGCAAGTGTGCCCTCTACTGATAGACCTCACATCTGTGGAGACAGGGTCTTCGGTGGCCATGATGTTCTTGTTATGGTTTGTTGGCAGTTGTTTTAAGTCTTGGCTTTCATCCATTTCCATCTCTGATTCACCCGTGTGCTCCACCTCCATTTCCTATGTTGTGGTGTATGGAAGTTCTGGCTTGGGCTGTATGAATGGGCCAGTCCTCAGGTTGTTGCTGTAGGGATCCAGAACCTGTTGATGTGTCTCACCTGACTGGCATCAATGAGACCATCTCTGATGTGTGGCAGCACGAGGTGCCAGCAATCGGGTTTATCTTTCAAAGGAAGCAGTGGTTGCATATGGTTCCTGGTTGTTCCCATCAATTCGCACACAGTACTGTCTTTTGCTTAGCACCTCCAAGACTTGTCCAGTTTTTGCCCATTGACATGGGTAAGGGCTGTCTTGGATCTTTATTTGAACTGATTCCCCAACTTATAGCTCCCGAAGTGGACGACTGTGTGTGTTGTTGCATTGTTCATTCTTTAAGTGTCTTTTGGCCATTGCCATCTCCCTTAATTGGATGATTTCCTTCCACTGCTTATAGATTTGGTATTTATGTTTCAGGTTAAGGAGATGGTCTTTTATAGCACAACAATATAGCATCATTGCTGGAGACATGCCAAAGTCCTGAACAGGAGCATTATGGTGATTTAGTAGAGCCCTGGCCATGTGATCATGGGATAGGCAGCCATGGGGGTATCAGTATTGTCTGCCAATAATCACTTGGCTGTTTTGATAGCCAGTTCTGCTCAATGCTGATTATAATTTCAAGTGGTACCTCTTCTGTAGCATGTCCATCATGCATAGCCCTCTTCATTCTTTGGTCCAACCAGAGGATGAAAAGAGCTAAGCATATATAATGACAATTATACCATTATGATATTTGTACATAAATGTATTTAGCCACTTATATGCCATTTTCTTCCACTGCCATCTTGGAGGCAGGTTCCTTACTCCAAGAATTTGGTATCATTTTGGATGGTGAACTAATCTAATTTGTTTTTACAGGCTTCCACAGAGTTGATGTTCTTCTCATTTTGAGTATTTGTTGGGATCAAAATAAGTGATAATCTGTAGGTGTAAAGTCTCCTGAGTACCCAAAGAGACATGGAGTCCAGTATTGTCCTGATGGATGATGACACCCTTCTGATTGGCCAATTTGAAATGCTTTTCAATACCAGTGCCTTTAATCCGTCCATTTGAGAACAGTACTTGCTTAAAGTTAACATTTACAATTCACTATCCACACACAAATAATATAAAAAGATGAACTGAAATTTCACCTTTTCAAAATTAGTTAATTTTTTTAGCAAACTAACATAGAACAATGTGCGATCCAAAAGACAAGGTTAAATTTCTAAAAGACCCCTAAAGCTGATCCCTATGAGAAAAAATAAAGTTATGTATGCGATAAAATCATCAGGTTATTATGTATTTAGAGGTCTGAAAATATAGTGAAAGATTAAATGTACATTTATATGTCCAGCAGCTGCAACATGTCCATAAATGTTTGGTTGAAAAGCACTCTGCTCTCAATAATAGGACACAAAGATCACAAAGAATACAGGAAAAATTTTGAAATTTGTCTGTCCAACCTTGATCCCCATATTCACCTGACCTTTCACCAATTGATTATTACCTTTTTTGATGGCTGCAAAACACTTCAATGGGGAAAACTTTCTCTAATTAAAACCAGATTTACGAGTTCCACAAAAAACTTTTCCACATCAAAGCCTGTGGCATTTTGCTCCAAAGGTATCAAAGAGCTGACAGATAAGTGACAACAAGTCATTGCAAATAATGGTGAATTATGGAACTGAATAAAATGTAATTTTAACTTATTCTTGGAAAAATAGGATTGATAGGCAAAAACAGAAATTAATAACAACTTATTGGTGAATATGAACAAAGGGAAACCCGTCTTTCTGTGAGAGTGCTTTACCAATTAGGCCACAAATAGAAACCAGAAGAACTTGCTCAACTATCATTGAAGGTTTATTATTTAAGATTCATTCCATTTGCTTAGGAATTGTTGAATAATAATCTGACACATTTAAATGAATACTCCTTAAGCACTTCATATCTGTCTATATTTGTCCTCAAGGACACATGGCACAGTGGATAAAGGCATTGGTTAGATCCAGTGACAGGACCCAACGAGTGTGAGTTCAATACCCGGTTAAGGCAATGGAGAACTTTCAGAAGAAAAATTAGCAGGAAATAACTGATAACTGACATCCATCAAACATGGCACGTGGAACTAGAACAGTCTACCCCCGTGAGCGAAATAAAGGGTTCAGTTCGAAATTCCAACCACCTGAAGAAGGCCGGAGCGTACAACGGCTGAAACATTTTGATATGGCGACACAGATGAGGACAATAGTCTGAATAATGTAAATAATGCACTTCATATCATCACACTATTTCAAATGTTTTCATTTCCATGATTACATGAGCTAGGCTTACTTCAAATGCTAACTAAAATTTACTTTTCACACAAGTGCTGGCCACTTTTTTCCATGCACATCCATCTTCTAGGTTGGCTAGCCTGTTGCAGATGCACATTTTTGGTGTATATATATGCAAATATGCTAACCTTAGTTACAGTTTCTTTAAAAAATGCATCCTCTATCATGACGAGCAGTTTGAAAAACACCAGTACATTCAAATCCTGTGTTGCAATGACTTGTAACTTCAGTGTAGCACAACTATTAACTAACAGTTCTGTCTACTGAATTTTGCTCTCAAGCCTTGGCTCAATCTGTGGTACTGTTTTCAGGCACTTTCCAACTGTGCCATATTCTGGGATTGCCTCTTTCAGCCAATAACCACCTTCCAGACAAATCAACCATGGAGAAATTAGAACCTGGATTTTATGGTCAGAAAGTGAACATTTAAAACCAGTTGGCTATGTGTCCATTACAACATTCTGATGTTTTTTGTTTGTTTTTTTTTGTTTTTTTAGATGTAAAATTTGGCTGTAAGAAACAAAAACCTCAGATGATGTGAAATATTATTTTAAATTTTGAAGTAATGTATGAAAACAAAATTTATTAAAAATGAAAACGGTTTTTGTTATTGACTGAAGTGAATTTATCTTTCAGGTTTGTGAAGATCAACTGACACTGTTGCTTGAGCTGTTGTTAGATGTTCCGTGCAACAAATTGATTCTGGAAAAACTTTACCAAGAATTTCACATCTGGGAAGCAAATCCAGACGTATGTTCTCTATCTCAGTGTGAACCATAATTTCTGTTTTTATCAAATCCTGTATATGTTTAAGACCAACATTAGATTCAAATTATTCATTCCAAGACTAAAATATAAATATAAAAATTATTCATACCGATACTCTCAAAACAAGTATATGAACCCAAATACAGTCCTTCGATGATTTTCTATAATGCAATTATCACGACATGAAATGGAGAAAAAAACTGAAATCATCTGATCATTTTTCAATTATTCGAACTAAACTTTGAATTCCAGTTGTTTTTTTTTATATTCACTTATGAGCAAATACCCTTTGTAAAGGTATGAATCTATCTTCTCCCCCTAGATGTGGGTTAAATAACAGGTCTTGTATCTGAAAAAATCATTGTTATTTGTCGAGAAAATCTCAACCCAAGAAAAAAATCTGTGACAGTGTAGGCTGGGGAAATGAACAAAGGTACTTACCTTAAGTTGCGAAAAAAATATCTATTTCCATGTCATAGCTTCTCCGTCAGATAACTTGCATAGTTTAAGAAAGGGTAAAAAAAAAAAGGAAAAAAAATTTCCTTTATAACGACTTCAGTGATCACATGATAACAAGTCATGAGACCTTGTAACTATAAAAAATTGGTAAAAAAAAAGATAACAGCTTTTAGTTGACCAGAACAACATCCCAGTTAAGTACATTACTCCTCCCACCCGAATTGTTAATTTTTCTACATATTCTCAAAAAATTAAGAAAGGATTATTCTTATAATCCAAAATATGTTTTGTCTTTAAATAACCCACAAACGGTTGATAAGCCATAAAAAAACAAATCAATCAAATCCAAATTATATCTATTCTAATTCTCAGACAAGAATTTTGAGAATTTAGAAAACATTTGATAAAAGTAATGATAAAAACAGTTCAGATAATTCTTGTTAATTTCTTTGATGTTTTCATGCAAAGAAAATGGGTTTTAATAATCACAGCTTGATCATGCCAGAAATCATGTCTCGTGTCTTGGCTATGAACACCTAAATGATCAGGGTTCTATTGAACTTATAAACATGCCAAAGAAAGGTTGAAGAACAGGAGGATGGAAATGGTTTTGCCCATGTTGAATTTCCACAGTCCTGATGCCCACTGAAGTAATGATTATATTTAAACAGTGTGGATACAGGAATCAACACTGTATGGTGAGAGTTTGTTTCATGCTTGAATACCATGACACCGAAAAAATGAAACAGACCATTGCCATTCAGTGTTCACAAAAACAAAATGAAAAGAAGTTAAAATAGCAAAATTTTCTTTTTCTTTTTCCACCTCCATATTTCATTCTCTGATGAAGCTTTAATAAAAGTGAAACATGTTAGATCTTATAAATGTTTTCTATTTGTTCTTTATCTATCCTGTTGCCCAGAATTGTTGCTACTACAATTTACAAACAGTATATTTACACAGTCAAACCATGAAAATAAACTAACTGCACCAAAATCAATCCCATGGAAAATGGCTAAAGAAGTGTCTGAGAGCACTTGAGTCAATCGACAATATGGACAGTTTTTGTACTCAGTCAGTCACTCACTACTACTACTACTACTACTTATTATTATTATTATTATTATTATTATTATTTTGATTTCTGGCATGTACACATTTCTTTCTGCTCCCACCCACATGACACTTTCCACTGACAAAAAAAAAATAAATATTTTACATAGATAAAGCCCTTCATAAAGTGTGGCCTGTACTTGTGAGAACAATTTTTTGTATTTCTTTGAGACATGGACTTCCAGGAATCCCTTCAATTAGTCTACTGGAATCTTTTCCAACCAATCCTTGGGCTCCAACTACAACAGAGATTGTTGATGTTCCCATATGCCACATTTTTGAGATTTTGATTTCAAGGTCCTTGTATTTTGACAGCTTTTTGAAGATCTTCAACAATACATTGCAGTCTGCAGGGACTTCCATGTCAATAAGGAGGCACTTTTTTTGTTTGTGGTCTTTAATAACAATGTCTGGGCAGTTGGCTTTGATTGCTATTATTATTATTATTATTATTATTAAAAAAATGGTTAAAGAAGTGTCCGATAGTGCTTGAGCCAATTGACGATATGAACAGTTTTTGTACTCACTCACCCCCACCAAATAGAAAAATGGCAAAACAAAATAAAAATTAATTAAATTTTTCTCATCCACCATATTTAACAAAAGATATATATATATATTCATGAATCATTCATACAAAAAACAAATATAGAGGTTAATGATTTAAATGGCGAGAATACATCATCACAAACTGTATAAATAAGATACATCAACCCTGAACCTGTATATGAATGATATGATCCCTGTTCATAAACTCCAGTTGCATAAGGTCATTTTAATTTTTACAAGCTTTCGTCTGTTCCTACAGACATCATCAGGTATGGAAATAGATTTTGTTCTTGTTTTTACTTCTCGGTAATAAGAGGACAACGAAAATAGAGATGTAATCCGAAAAAATGCTATGAGAAATGTGTTATTGTTTTGTAACGCGCAGTCGCAATGCTGAGTTTGAATTTAAATTTTAAGGTTCTGAGAAGTATTTATAAATTATATTTGCGCCTTTTTAATTGAAATGAATTTATAAATTATATTTGCACCTTTTAATTGAAATATATATATATATATATATATATATATATATATATATATATATATATATATATATTACAATTAGGCAGCAATTATTCTTTTAAACAAATTTTATTGAAAAGTATTGATAATTTATTTCTGCACAAGTGCAGTTTTTCTTTTATTATTCACTCAGTTACGTGCCATACGTAATACACACTTGGGTTATCATGTCTCTTTTGATTTATGACTGAGAAGACGGAAGATCTTCCCACAATAGATTGCCCCTTCTTTCTCCAATAGACAGTTGCCAGGCAAAGTTATAGGACCCAGAGCTGTTTAGCAATCATACCTTTCCCAACAGTATTTGCACATAAAAGGTATTAATGGACCCAACTGGAATTTGAACTCAGCCCTTTAATTTATCACTCCAAGCCATTATCCATTACACCACCCAGCACATTAATTGATAATATTGTAATAATTAATACAATAATTCTTGTCTATTCCTGAGGATTAAGGAATTGCAAATCTCTGAATCCGTCTTTGATAAGTATTATATTTTGAACTTATATGTTTTTGATGCAATGATAATTATTGTTGCACATAGCTGTTGAGCATCTTATTGGCAGAAATTTTGTTGACCTTCACATACATTGAAATATATAATTTTATGCATTATAAATATGTCATTATTACATTTTATTTATATATATATATATATATATATATATATATATATATATATATATATATATATATTATAAATTAATTGATTTAAAATATGTTTTTTTTTCGCTACACAGTTTTAACCATGTTTAAAAAAATGTTTTGAAACATGGTTAAAGCTGTGTAGCAAAAAAAAACATTTTAAATCAATTAATTTATAATATTAATGCTCTGTAAATTTACATTGAGCACTATTTTGTAAAAATAAAAATATCTATAAGAATTTGGATTTATATATCTTACTGTTCTTTTTTTATTTATATATATATATATATATATATATATATATATATATATATTTATGCATAAAATTAGAAAATCAGCCAATTCTACAAATACTTTCATGGAAATTGCTCTGAGGAGCTGCATTCGCTGGTTCCCAGACTTCATGAGTTCAAGCGCCCTACGAGGCTGGCATCCTGCTCTCACCCCTTCACTGTCAAAACTCCTAAATGTAGCCATCTCTTCTACTCTAATAGCTTCATGTCTCGCACCTCTCGCCTGTGGAACTCTCTTCTCTTCTCCTATTTCCCTGAGAGTTATAATCTCCAGCTATTCAAGTGTAATGTCAATCGACATCTCCAGTTGCCTTAATCTATCTACTACCCTCATCCTTTCTTCTATCACTCCTATCTGATCTTCCTATTTTCTGTAACCCCTTGCGTCCTCGTGGCTTCCCGCCTTGCTTGGGGTGAAATGCTTAAAAAAAAAAAAAAAAAAAAAAAATTCGCTATCTTGGTTTTAACCTTTCAGTATCTTCAGGCAATTTCAGTCAATTGATTTCCTAACATTTTATTTTTTAAAAAAATACAAATTTATGAACGCTATATTTAAAAAAAAAAATAAATAAATAAGGGTATGACATGTGTTGTAGGAAGAGGAGGAGGAGGAGGACAATATTAATCTGTGTATATAAACCAACACTTGCACATTATATTCATACTATTACATGTGTCAGAAAAAATAAACATCGATAATACATTATAACAGCATTATTAAATAAATTTGAATATGAATGACACAACATATATTTATACAATTCTTTGTACTAAATGAGAGCTTTTTTATAAACAACTATTTAAAAGGTAAAGAGGCTATGTATGTTACGTTACTTGATGATAAATAAATAAATACATGCTGATTTGCTGCCGTAATGTATTTTGAAATAAATGCAAGAAAGAAACAAGTATGTATAAAAAAAAATATACTTATTATTTTTAAAAAGAGTATACCTGTTTTAATCTTTTAAACCGAATACTCATGTAAGGTGTTAACTATGATGTCCAATGGAACAATAAACCTTATTTTGCTGTCTTTAAAATCAAATTAAAAAGTGTAATTAGAAATAAAATGGATAATATGGTTACCTGATCATTTTGTATCATGAAATGGTTTTAAAAGAAACTCAGTGGGTTTATGAGTGGTTTGGTATATATATATATATATATATATATATATATATATGTGTGTGTGTGTGTGTGTGTGTGTGTTTGCAAATATATTCTGCATTGTCTTTTTTTTGCAGGTTCGTCACAGATGGTGCGAGCTTGTAGTCAAGCATAAGTTTACAAAATTCTACAAAGATGTCAAACACTTTCTTCTTCATGATCAAGTAAGTTTCTTTAAAATCTTCTTCATGATTCTCTTCTTCCTAAAATGGTAGAAGTCTGAAAAATACGGATTGGTCAGGTATCGGATTTGTCCAGCTGTAAGGATGTTTTCGTTTTTCAAACAGTACTTTTAAAATTTAGACTGTTAGCCATTTTTAAGAATTAATTTTTGTTATAATAAAGGGTGTGTAAGTGTTTTTGATCAACTTCTGTTATTATCATGAATGTAGAAATATTAAAACCTATTATAGTAATTATATATTATATATATTTAATTATATATTATGATATATTTATATATATATATATATATATATATTTTATATATATATATATATATATAGTAGAGTAGAGCCCGTTGCCGGGATATAACAGTAAGAGATAGATCAAGTATCCACCATCATAAAGACTGAAAAATAAAATTGACAAAGATTATTGTTTAAGGTTGACGGACATGCATGTCTTAATTAGATTTTTTTTTTTTTTTTACGAATTGGTCAAACCCAAACTCAAACAAAAACATTGTTTTCAATCGTTATGAGTCTACTGATTGGATAGAATTTTATTATAAACAGTTGTCTTGTAAATGGAATTTTTAAAGCATTCTGAATGTAAAAATAAAGAAAAAAGTGTGCAAGACAATAAGAAACACCACATGCCAAAAAAAAAAAAGTGAAGTTTTGTTGAAATCGGTTGAAAAATATAGGTAGCTTTTTCTGTAATCTTTTAGTTTTACAATTTATGATTTTTTACTTATTGAATACAGTAAAAAAATTGCATATTTTGCTTGTGGTGATTCCTAATTAGAATTCTGATTTGAATATATTTTCCATTCGTTGTTTCTAATACAAAAAATATTAACTTTATTTGGGTTTATTAATTATGATCTAACAAATCTTATTCATTTAGTAGCCTTTCTGTAATAATAATCTTTTACAATTGATGATTTTTACTTATTGAATACAGTAAAAAAATTGGACACCATGTGTATTTAAAGTAGTTTCCCGTTCCGGTTATTATTTTTAGTTAGGACTTGTGTATGTTTAGATTTCATTATCTTTCCCTAAAGATAAAGAATTTATCCAATGTTTGTATTCATACAATCAGTAGAGATCGTTAGATTATTGTTTAAGGTTGACGGACACGCATATTTTAATTAGTTTTTTTTTTATTTTTTACGAATTGGTCAAACCCAAACTCAAACAAAAACATTGTTTTCAATCGTTATGAGTCTACTGATTGAATAGAATTTTATTATAAATAATTGTCTTGTAAATGGAATTTTTAAAGCATTCTGAATGTTAAAAATAAAGAAAAAGTGTGCAAGAGAATAAAAAACACTACCTGCCAAAAAAAAAAAAAAAAAAAAAAAAAAAAAAGTGAAGTTTTGTTTTATCGGCTGAAAAATATAGGAAATCCGCTCCCATATTTAAAGGAACCCACACACACAAACAACCCGATGTGAGTTGTCCCCTTCCATTTTCGATGTCTCTTAATCGTGTTTTGAAATTGATTTTGTGCAAAACAATTATATTTTCCCCATTTTTGGCGCTGTTAGAACCACCACAAGGTAATTTCATGTAGTCCTGTGAAGTTTTGTTGAAATCGGTTGAAAAATGTAGGAAATCCGATCCAATATATAAACGTTACAGACACACACACACACACACACACACAATCTACATTTTATAATAAGTAAGATATATATATATATATATATATATATATATATATATATATATAATTATAACTTTAAACATTATCTTTAGTGGATACTAGTATTTAAGTAGACTCTTCATTTATTTAATAAAGATATATGGCGGGAGGCAACGGTGGAGTAATGGAT